TGGCAAATTGCACAAAGGATATATACAGTAAGAAAACATCGTGTAAATTTTCAAAAGACAGAAAATAATACTGCATCTTGCTTTTGGATCTATGGAAAGGTAGTTAAAAGAAAAGGAGATGTGGCTAACACACACCAACCCTGAGAGGCATGCAGGTCAGTATTGAGGAGGAAAGGAGAACAAGGATGTGGGTAAGTGATTTGTTTCAAGAGCGATCATAGGCATAAAGAGCAAAATGTTGAATCTCATAAATCTAGGAAGTGTATACACTGGGTTCTTGCCTATTATTTTATGCACCTATGTGTTTGTTTAAAAAGTTTTCTAATTACAATTTTAAAAACATATTTCAAAGATTAAAAGACTTTGACAATATCTGTTTTGCAGCCATTGTGAAACCAGTCATCTCCAACATTTTTCTCTCACCATGTGGCCCACAACTCCTGGGCTAGTTTTTTTTTTTTCTTTTTCTTTAAGGTTCATAGAATTCCAAAGACCAAAGTCCATGACCAACTATCCTTCTTTCCCACTTCATAATTTTAACTAACCTTGTTGAGCCTGGCCACTGGGTTGGAAATGAAGCCCAGATATTTCACTGTTAGACACGGAGCCCTCTTTTCTCTACACCAAGGACACCACCTCAGAAAGGCCGTCCATAAACAGGAGCTGTGAGTGTCTAGTGCTCAATTTCTCAGACGTATTTGCCAACCTTTGTACAGTTAGGTCTTAGGATGACTGCAGAAATTGAGCACTAGACACTCAGAGACCAGCTTAAGGGTTTTAATCAGCTCCTCCAAGCAAACAGCAGGTGGCTAAAGCCCAGCTGCTGTCTAGCTGACACAGAACCACACACACGGAACCCGCTTTGGGAGGGCCAGTCTCTTCTTCATAGCTCTGCTGCCCTAGTTGTACAATTGCCTCTCTTGTTTATATAATCCATAGCATGAGTCCACATAAAAGGCAAATAAGAAATCGTGGGAAATTTTTTTCCACAACCTTGCTCTGTACCTGGAATTCAAATGTGTTTGGTTAACCTTCTATTTATTCCTTCTCTTTCCCTCAGCTGACCTTTCTAGTCTCGGTCCTTGCCACGGCGTCAGTGAGACCCTGGCACCATGTGACAAAGACGCTCTTAGGAGCGCTTTATGAATTGTTTCATTCATCAGGGGCACACACTGGCACTCCCTTTGTATGTCACCATATCTGTCATTAAAAATGTGAAAATGTCAGCCCTGACATATAGGCACTTCCCACCCGCAGACACTGAGGCCAAACATTGGGTGGTGCGCTCCAATTTTTGCTTTTCCTCCAATTGTGTTCCTGCTGGACAGTCTGAATTGCAATTCAGATGGCAGAGGCTGGGAAAGGCAGCTCATTGCATAGGTACCAGAATGTTTATTTTTTCATGTAGCCAGATAATTGGAGGAAAATTAAGGTTCATGATTAGGCCATGCATTGCACTTGATCATTAAGTTACCTGACATGAAAGTCACATGGCCATATCACAAGCTGTGTGACCAGTTTGCTAACTTATCCTTCTTTAGGGAGCAATTAATCATTATTCTGTGATAGCGTACACATATTCCTGCCAAAGAATAGTGAAGTACTTACACAGGGCACTACCTCGAAGCACAAAGAAACATTAGTCATTTGATTAAAGTGTATGGCAATCAAGCTGAAAAACCTGCTAAATGTTTAAACTAGGAACAAGCACAGCCTCATTTTCTTTCAAGTCTTCCAGCGCGCTGGGAAGCCCTGGTAGGGTTAACAAGAGACCTGGTTGGAAATGAAGTGAGAAAGCAATGATATGAATGACGATGGGACTTAATTTTCGATAACACCCAAGTCAATCAAAGGAAAGTACCTGTGAATTCCCTTGAATGACTTGCTGGAGGGTATTGTGCAGTAACTATATTACTATATCCACTTTTTTTCATCAATTAGTATTGTTAAAGAGGAGCTTGACTATAGAGTTCCTAACAGCAGCAAAAATAAATTCTCTCCAATTAAGTAGTCTAATAAGCTATTTAGGATTTTAGCACTTAACATTCTTTCCTTCCCATTTAATTTTGACTTTCACTTGGATGTCATCTTGTTGAAAATCCATCACAGAAAACTACGTGGGGAAAAAAGATAATGTTGCTAAGTGCCCCTGGTGTTCAAAACGGAGCAGAAGCACAATATTTTTTTCTAAATCGCCCCAGGATTTTTCCTAATAATTCAGATTCTCCCTGCTAGAAATTAATATATGAAAATGGTCAATATGCAAATTCAAATATCACACTAGCTACTTGCCTTCAGTTAGTGCTATATGCATAAATTTGAAGCTATACAATATTTTAAGGTTCTTGATTATAATAATGCCTTTGTGTGCATATGTGCATGAATAATTATACTCATTTAATTTAATCATGAAAATATTAGAGGATCATTTGGTTTTCTCCTCTAAAAGTTCTCTCACTTTTTCCAATTAATGAGTTCCACTTTGCCCCTTCCATAAGTCAGCTGATGTTAAGTAATGGTTTTCTGAGCTATAAGGAATATCGCCACATTCCTATAGATTAAGAACGCAGAAGAGGCATATTGGAAGGTGGTGGCCTCTTGTTGTTAGCATACAGCCTCGTCATGGAAAATGTTAGGCCTTTCAGTAGAACCTTGTCCTAGAAATACCTGAACTTTATGATCATTTGTTTCTGCAAGTTTCCAGTACCCCTGAGAATTTGCCCTCGGGCAGTCACCTGATTACAACAGAAGCCCTGGAAACCAGCTCATCTGACCCACACATTCCACATGCTCAAGTGGAGTGGAGCTTTTGGGACCTTGAAGAATTCCTGGAATCACATGAATATATTTTGGGGCGCAAGAAGGTGGAGGACATTGAACGTAACGAAGCACTGGAAGAACAGATAATGCAAAAGTGAGTACACTGAAACAGGCCGTTGTGAATGACAGGTTAGAAACATGACACAAAGGTCATTGTATATTATCTTTCCCCCGCAAAGGAAATCCTACTGTCTTTCTTGCAGAAAAAACTATGTTGCTTTTCTTCAACATGTTAACAGGGACCAATGAAAGGAAATAGGCTGCTTTGTGCCCATCAATAGAATCTATATAGCATCTTTTCCCCCAGGGATTAATTCAGCTTTTGATTAAATCTTTCTGAGATTTAAATCACGATGTGACAAACCTCTAAGGAACTCCTCTATGAGTTGTGACCTTCTTTATTACTCTCTGCTGTTTGATAAAGTACAAAGATTGATTTATAATGGTGTATAATGTGTTTGAAAACAAGGAATAGCAATGAGAATTGCAAACTATAAAATTAATATAGTTAAATATTGCAAAAAATACAATTTGGTTAAAATATTCTATAATTAATACCAAGCTATAACTGTGTAGCTACTAACACTGGTGTCAAACGAGTATAATAATGTTGTTAGAGCTGTAAATCATACCCAGTGATTAGCTAAATAATGCTACCATGAAGAGAAAACTGGAGATACTGAAAAACAATTTTGAACCAAGATCACATTGTACACTTTAGACAGACATAGTTTGGAGGACTTTTGAATTGAAACAAGCTTTATTTAAATAAACTATTTGTATCCAGTGTTCATTTGTTTTTTGCCGGCTTAATGCTGTTTTCAATAATTATTTTGCCATTCATATCATCAAGGGTGGAAGTGATCTAATGTTTGGGGACAACATCAAATGAATTGTCTCTAATCAGGGTGTCGCTATACTGGACCAGCAGCTACTACTGCTGCTCTTTTTTTTTTTAATCCCCCTTGGGGGTGGCTGGTTAGCTCAGTTGGTTAGAGCGCAGTGCACACAACACCAAGGTCACCAGTTTGATCCTCACATGGGCCGCTGAGCTGCGCCCTCCACAACTAGATTGAAACAACTACTGGACTTGGAGCTGATGGGTCCTGGAAAAACACACTGTTGCCCAATAAAAAAATATCGCTTTTTATGCTCAAAAGGTTTTTAAGGGTACCAAGTTAACCCTTTAAAAAGAAGGCTTGCATTATTCTGATGTCCTCTGGTTCCAGCCAGAAGATTAAAAAGGCACTCTATGACTTAAGGGTGAGTGGAGACAAGTCCATATCTGAGGCTTATCCACTGAATCTCAGGAGTGCTCAGTACTCGTGGTTGTAGATTCACATTATCTGGATTAGATAATGGTAAGTTTTTATTTTCTACATTGATAATACAAGTAACAAGTCTTACGTGGGAATAAAAAGGAATAGAAAACCATGGGAAGTACTTCTCGTGTAACTTAGCTGATTTCAATGTACGATTGATTGCCCTATCACATTTCCAATAATTAAAAACATGTTTTTTTTTCTTTAGGAGATTGGGATATATTAAGCCACATTTTCCCAGTGCTATGCTTATGGTGGGTCTTGCAGTACAAGTTGCTGGGAGTGGCGATGGCCATCTGAAATGAGGAGACACCAAAGCACTAATAGTGCATTGTCTGTCATCTGTGTCATTAGGACCACCAACCACCTACGAGGCACAGTGGACATTCTGACAGCAAGCCATGTCAGCAGCTATCAGACTGTCCCATATTTAACCCGATGACTTACATATGATGGGGGGCTGCCTCCTATCATAAGTTTTCAAAAAATACTCATTCCATCTACAGTAGAACTGCTTCCTAAGCTAAATATTTAGCAGGTTTCTCACCAGGGGCAATGGCTTGTACTTAGAAATACACACTTCCCAGGGGTAAGTAGAAAAACAGAGCTCATCCATTGAATGAAGTCTCATTTCACTTCCCATTATAGAAATCACCACTATGCCTTTTCCGTTTGCAAGGAGACAAGGTAAAACACAGAAGGTACACATTACCTTAGAGCTGAAGTCCATCCATGAATATGGAAAAGCAGGGAGAAAGATCCAGAAAGGAAATCGAATGGTAATAAGCAAGTATCATGTACTGATCCGAGAAACATACCAGGAATTTGGTGATGATAAATAAGAAAAGCAGAAGTAGATTTGAAACATTCGTTTCCCTTTATTAGCTCAGTGAGGCTGATGTGTACTGCACATTTAAAAAAAAAATCACAGGAATTTTCATACAATGAATAAAACCACAACAATACATGTAGAATTGGCAGGTGGAAAAAAAAAGCCCGGCGAGGGCTCAACTAATCGCTCACTTTCCCTCTTCAGCATAGTTCAACCAACAGTATTACACTTTCACCTACAAATCTTAAAGTAGCTCCATCGAATCAGCAGTTCACATTATTGAAAATGTCTGTCACATAGGTACAAATTTAGAATCATCACATTATATTACATGGCTATTCTAGGTCATCTATAGATCAGGTCTTAGACTACAGTGATTGAAGTTCTCGTTACAGCCATCAAAAAGGACACATAATCATTACCTACTGTAAGCTCACATCTAAAGGCATGAAAAGGTTTCCTTTTTTCAACTGACCCAACCATCATACCCCAATAGTGCAAAGTTCCCTCTCTGCTGCTTTGAATGTTGACAGCCCAACCGTTGCTTTCTCGGAGTCGTTTAGCAAAAATCAATCTTGTTGCACTGGAAGAATTATTCTGCTACATCTCTTTAAAAAAAGGAAAAAAAAAAGCCCACATTTCTAAAGCACCAGTTCGGTTACCAAAATCGTAGATGTGGTACTTACCACAGCATGAAGGCAATGTCCCACAGTCATCTAAAAATGCTAGAGATCTATGCTGAAATTTGCCTCCAGTGATGATGGGGTGCATGTGTTCATTTGAAATATTCTCTCCAAAAAAAAATTTAAAAATAAAAGGAATACAGTTTACATTTTGATGGGCTACCCACAGTGTCTGCATAAGATACAAAAGCGCTATTCGGATGGTTTAGTGATTCTCTCTTTGCACTAATTTTAGATGCAATTTGAAGTCCATGGGGAAAAAAACAACAACAACAAAGCTGTCTTTATGGTAACAATATTTGTCAGGCCAGAGGGGGAATAAGTTAATCCTCAACATGAAATCTGTAGTGCTGTCTTTTGATAAGTAAGAAAAGAAACCAAGTATTTTTACTCATGTCAACAATCCAGGGCAGAAAGGAGAATGTATTTAAAATTGGATCACAAAAATTTAAAGGCAAAATAGAGAACGCTTCTGGTCCTTGAACACATAATATGATTTACTAAATATTGATTTCTTAAAAATAATTTATTGCTCTTAATAGTCTTTTTTTATTATTATCATTATTATTATTATTATTATTCTACAACAGAAGATACTCAAAATTCAGAAAGAAAGACTGTAAACTTTAGTTTGGCGTTCACACAGAGTTAAAATACCTGCATTTAACCTACAGAACAACAAGAATTAGGCGGATTAAAGATGTGTTACTGTTGTAACGCAGAACCTGTGAACAAGTTCTTGTATTTCGTAGTATTTTTTTATTGCTTTCTATCTACTTAGAAATAAAAAGCCAAAAAATCAAGCAAGCATCCGACAGGACAGACAGTGGATTCACTCAGAACACAATATGCTGGTGATAAATGAATGCAGCTACCAAAATTAGCTGCATTTGGCCTGGGGGTGAGATCCGCTTTATAAGATCGTGTTGGGCGAGAGAAAGAAAAAGAACGATTAAGGAGTAGGTATAGCATGTCTTCGAGAAAAGTCATGTCAGCCAAACTGTAATCAAATCTCAATTTAGCAACTGGAATACACACTCCAAACTGTACTGAGATCCATTCCAGGGGCTCCACACTCAGATGAAATCCTGATGCTCAAAATGGAGGTTTTTCTGAAGTTTTTTTGTTTGTTTGTTTGTTTTTATTGAATTGAGCAGAAGCAATGTCATCAAGAACAACATCATGGTCACGTCAGAGGCCATGCTAGTGCAAGTAGAAACACTGCTTCTGCAAAAGCTGAATTTCCCAAATGAGACACTGAAACTCCACCCTGACAAGTGCCATGCATCCTAGGTAGAAAATTTCCACTGGCTTTATAATTTTCGTCATCTCATAATTTATAATAAATAGGCTATCTGCAACTGATAAATATGTCTCTTTAGTAAACAAAGGAATGAGATATCAGTATTTATACAGGATGCATAACTGTAAAAAATACAGATAAATACCATCATCATACTCTGCCAAGGGAAAGATACTGGCTTCAAGGATAGTCTCCAGACACACATTAATTATTGTAAAAATCATACTGTAATTATTACCTCAGCATTTTGTATCAAATTAAAATCACAAAAATTAAAACAAAACAGCATTTTAAAAAGATTTTTGACCTCTAGTTTCAAAACTACTGTTGATAGAGAAAATAAAAACATTTCTTAATGGTTACCCATTGAGACTTTACATAAAATCATGATATCGTCTAGAAAAATTTTAGATGAGAAAATTTTCATTCCCCTAACAAATCCAGTGTATAAAACTTCAAAGAAAAACAAGCAACAAGAGAATGTGGAAAAATATCGCAGAAGTGGTTAATACCTTTAGAGGGCTAGGATATTTCTTGACAAGATGCTTAGATCGAAGCTCACCTACGAAAGGATGGATGTGCGTAAAGCATCATTTTGTTGTTGCTGCACTCAATGGAAACACACACTGTCTTTTTTTTGTTTGTTTTTTTTTACAATCAAATATATATAAGCAGTAAGTTCAGCTTCTAAATAGGTTAGTGTACAATAATTGTTTCACCTCATAATTACATTTGAATATTCTCGATTAAGAAAAATTCAGCAGTTTTGAAAAGAAGGCTGCATTTACAGTGCATAGCTGTAACAAAAAAAGAACCTTGTTGTATACTATGTACACAAAATAAAAATACTCCATTTAACATCTGTAAATACTTAACTACATCAGAGAATGTAGCAGTTACACTATCTGCACACATCCGGGAGAGTTCTACCCAACTCTCATTCAATATGTAACACCGTGCCCGCTTCTCAGAAAGAACCACTGAACAAGCTGCACGCGTGACCATTGACAAGGCTTTTGAAATTTGCAGTGGAAGATCAACATTTTGGACATTTACATGGGTGTCAGGATAAAGGACGAATGACAGAAACTTCAAAATGTTAGGAAAGTTTAGCATTCTGGTGCCTGCAGTATCCTCTCCCACCCAGATTCCATGGCAAAAGGAAAAAAAGAAAAAAAGAAGAGAGAGAGAGAGAGAGAGAGAGAGAGAGAGAGAGAGAGAGAGAGAGAGAGAGAGAGAGAGAGAGAAAGGATATTAGTTCTACGGAACCCGTGGTTTCCTCAGGATTGTCATATAATCATTACGTTATGAGAGAAAGCTTGCTTCAAGTTGATTTTGCACTTTCTTAAAAAACAGAGTACGGAGGCTGATGCCCAGACATCAGCGGCTGTCATTTTAGGGTGGTTTGTGGTTGGTTGGTTAGTTTTCTTTCCTTTTGAATTTATGCATTTTTTTCCTTTTGAATAGAATACGAACATTTTGAAGTTCTAGGTTTTACGTGTGTCTTCATGGAACTGCTGCCATTTGAAGTGGTTTGCTCTGGCACACTCTGGTCAGGAACCCCCAGTCCCCATCTGGACATACATACTTCCCCCAAACCAGGCATGCACACACACACACACATACATGCACACACACACACACATACACACACACGCACACACATACACGCACGCGCGCGCACACACACACACACACACACACACACACACACCATCACCATCACCAAGAGACTCCAGGGAAAGCAAAACTGACACCCATGAATAAACATGTGCTTACTGGATATCCATTCTCTCTCTTGCCTCTTCAGCAGCTGTGTTCATGTAAACCATTGTTGTTCTCATTGTATTGTTGTTGTTTTGTGTTTTTGTTTTTTCTTTTGTACAGAGTGTAAAGTAGGAGAAATTCCTAAGTATGACTTGCAATAGTCTGTTAGGGAAGGACGCGCTGTCTGTCCCGTGAGGTATTCACCGTCCCTCTGTCATCCTCAGCCAGGGAGCATGTTACCTGCGGAAGCTTCTCTGAGCTTCTTTCAGTAAACTATCGAAATCCAGAGAGTCGTACTTGCTCTTGGTGGAAGAAGGGTCAAAGTCATCTGAGTTTGAATCTAAAAGAAACCAAAGCCAGGTTAGTGCACCCCTTTGCCATGGTCATGAGCTCAATCATCCAATTCAAGATTCCCTGACTCAATAGCAACTTATCCAATCAACATACTTTAAAACAATAGGCCATTTACAACAATATGGATGGACCTAGAGAATATTATGCTAAGTGAAATAAGTCAGACAGAGAAAGAAAACTACCATATGATCTCACTTACATGTGGAATCTAAAGAACAGAATAAATGAACAAACAAAACAGAAACAGACTCAGAGATACAGGAAAAAAGAAAACGGATAGTTGCTAGATGGGAGTGGGTGGGGATGGAGGAGAAGGTGAAGGAAGGGATTAGAAAAAACAAATTAATAGCCACAATATAGTCACAGGGATATGAACTACAGTATGGGAAATATAATCAATAATGTAAAGATTCTGTGGGGTGCCAGGTGGGCACTGGACTTACTAGGGAGACCACTTCAGAGACTGTGTAGATGCCTGACCACTGAGCTGTATGCCTGAAGCTGAAGTTGAATAATACTGAATGTCAACTATAATTAAATATATATATGTATATAGTCACAGGATGTGGAGTAAAGCATAGGGAACATAGTCAATGGTGTAGTAACAGCTATATATGATGTCAGAGGGTAGTAGATTGGGAAAGGAGGGTTATCACTTTGTGAGTGGTGTAAATGTCTATTACATTGTTTTGTACACCTGAAACTAATGAAAAGAAAAAAAGAATAAAAATAGCTCAACATATATATATATATATATATATATATATATATATATATATATATATATAGAGAGAGAGAGAGAGAGAGAGAGAGAGAGAGAGAGAGAGAGAGGTGAACATTCAAAACACTCATCTATTGATTTTAGACTTAAACACTCCTGGAAGGTAACCAGAACAGACTTTAATATCTCTATTCAATAGCAACTTACCCAATCAATATACTTTAAAACTAAGTTCCCGCTCCTTTCCCAGCATGTTAAATGACTTACCTATGGTTCCTCAACAACTTAGAAGAGAAGACAAGCATAGACACTAGAACTAATTTCCCTGTTCAATGTGACTGACATCACTGAGCATAAAACCCAGTTGAGTGGGAGCGAGAATCATTAGAACTTCACCCACTCCCCGCCTTGCGGCTCCCCTTTGAGGCAGGACAGACATGTGATCCAGTCATCTACTCTATACCTTGGAGTATCCCAGCAACAGAGGCACAATTCTCTCAAATTAGAAGGCTTAGCGAAATTCTTCCTGTTCAGAGAGGGTCAATTCAGTTTCTTTTCTCATGAAGAGGAGATGGAACATACACTTTCTTGGGTCCTTAAACTAGTCCAAGTCAGCTTTTGTGCAGCTCCACATGCTACTGCCAAGAGCCCTCAACAAAATGGGTGTGTTTCAGCAATGGTGGGTTTAAAGTGACATTATCTTAAATATTTCTGGGTTTTCCTCCATTGACATCCATTAAAAAAGTCAATTATTTTTGCTGGTCTTGCAAGGGAGAAAGAATATCTTAGAAACAGCACAGAAAACCTCTTGCAAATACATTCATTCTTTGGAAAGCATGTATTGTGAAGGGAAAACAAACCTTTCTGGGAACCATGAACAATCCTACTAAAATATGAACATTTCCATGTTTTACCCAGACTAGGTTACAAAATAGAAATGCTCATTAAATGACAGAAGAGGATAATGGTAGATAAGGTAGAGGCATAATCACTGACCTCACAAGTTCTTTTGCTGAAAAGGTTGCAACCCTTCAAGCTCTCCAGAGTCAGGCTGATTTTTTTTTTTTTACCCCTAGCTATGATCTTCTCTAACCATCTTAGATTTTAAAACAAATAAATTCATTCACTTCTTTTTTTGTTTCATTCTCACCATTCTTTGTTTCTACTGAATTTTTGTCAAGAACGTTTTTCCAGGTAAGAACAACAACAAAAACAGCATCAACAATTATAGTCAGCCTCAGACATAAAGGCAAGGACAAAAATGGCCAATCTTCCTTCACTAATACCTTAAATGATTAATTCTTAACTTATACTGGCTCCCACCCTTCTCTTCGTAGCCTAATTTATATTGCTTGTAAGACTAAAACCTCATGAGCAGCTGTTGTTCAAATCAAAATCTTTTTTGTAGAAACAAACCAACAGACAAAAAACCCCAGAAAGCCCTACTCGTTGCCAAAGATTAGCCTGAAGTCAGAATTCCACAGGCATTGTAGATGAAGATGGAAGAGTGTTTTCATAAGGAGAACCTGTGTGACATTATGACATCAAGAACATCCACACATATCTTTTCTTGGAGGAAATTTTGAGAATATTTAAAATGATCTAACTTTGGATTTTTCTACGTGACACCCAGAATTTCAGTGTTTCTATATTTGTATTAGCAAATACTAAAAATATTTTGAAATAGTGGTTCTCAAGAGTTTCTTCACTGTGAAACATGAAGGCTGGCACTTACATATACACCTACTTACATGAGAATACTATGTCACACAGCAGGCAACCACAAAACATTTTTGGTTGCATGAAGTTAGAATGTGGTTATATGTATTTCCTGAGGCATTAATATCTTTTCCACCCCTATTTTTACACTAAAGGAAGAATACTGCAACATGAGTTAAGATATAACAAAATTTTTATAGGAATAACCCAAAAGCCACTCTAACTATTTTTATAAATAAATTGTTACAAATAATGATACTGTATAAATAGAACTGAATCACATTACAACTGTATTCTTGGCACCTAGAAAACTGTTAGCACAAAGTAGGCACTCAAATTAATATTTGTTAAATGAATATATTAATCTTGAAGACCAGTATATTACTAAAACTATGGTTGAAAATATTTGTGTTGGAATCTGAGAATTTTTACCATGAAATGGCAAGGGTTTATGAAAAGTTATGTATATATTCAAGATGCTGACCATTTAATACATTGCTTTGAGTCAATAAAAAATGTGTGATGGATGTGTTATTTATTTCATTGTTTTCTTATATGTTTAAGTTCTACACCATAATTAATTTCTGATCAAAATTATTATATTCTTAGTCCTGACCCATCCTTCTGTTCTGGTCCTACAGTCCTAATTTAATTTTTATCCTTTGTCTTTAAGATTTTTCATCGAAGTGTTTCAGAAACACCCATTTGTTTATAAAACGGTGGATAGAAAAACACACAGATTACAGATCCATAGAAACCAGGCTTAAATCCTGGCTTCACCGTAGTAACCTTGATTGTCTCTTTACATTCTGAGTCTCATTTATAAAACTAGCTCATAAATAGTATAATACCTAGAATCATTATGTTTTGCACTAATAGTATTGTAGTGCCCATTAAGTGGCTTCAATAGTGGAGAAATAGGAGGTGGGAACTAATTTAATTTGGGGGAGCAAAAAATAGCAGAAGAAAAAATTGGTTAAATCCATCTAAAAGGATCGGTCGCTCTACTCTTGGGGAAATGGACCTGTATCACATCATGTACACTTCACTCTTGCGACACACACAGAGCAGCTCACAGTCCATCTAAGAATCCAGGATACGCTTCCATCCACTATATTCAGTGGCTGTGCCTGATTCATTTAACTTGAACTCTTCAGGAGACAAAGAAAAGACACATGAATATTTTTCAGTCCCAAAGCTGGATACTGCTGTGAATGCTTCCATTTTAACATAACTTGAAATTTCCAACTTCTTCTCATTGCCATCACTTTTTATTATAATCAGAGCTACTCTTTATTAAGCACCTATTTTATACCAGACACTGTGTTAGCAGCTTCACAACCATTTATTGAATCTTCATGACAACATGATGAGGTGTTTTACCATTGAGGAACCAGAGGCAGAGGGAGGTTAATGGTTTGCTTACGATGAGAAGCTAAGTGAAGTTTCAAACCCAGGTCTGCAGGCTTCCGGAGGTCTGCAGGTTCTTCGACTACACCATGCCTACGCTCAGATCAAGTACGCCTCGCGCAATTGTAGGGCTTGAGGGAATTGGAAAAACCCATGCTACTACAATGCACATCAAACACACTTTTCAGAAAATACAGAGCTAGCCGGGCAGTGGCAAAGTTTCATTGCTGCCGGCTAGACAGTGAGATAACGAGAGGGGAAGCATTCTTCTTAGAAATATTTCAGGGAGGCTCTAGTTCAATTTGGAAATACCATTCAATCCTCTCTCTCCCAGTGATGAATCGTGAGCTAAAGGCCCCTCTAGGTAGCTTATTTTAAACTCTAGATGTTTTGAGAGACTAGAAACACCCTGGCCTTCATCACTGAAGAAAATAAGTCAAATCAACTCAAGACTTCAATCTGTCTTGACTGTTTTTATCAGCCAGCATTTGAACAAATGACTTGCCACCGTTTATATTTTCATCCCTAGGCCTCTATCTCTCTAACAGTCAGCTGCCTCTCCCCTGCTTCATGCTATCTATTTAGCTTTTGAAGTGAATTATAGCATATTCCCCCTGAACAATGCACACTACCTATATCAATTACTCTAGGAAGACATCACTTTGGTGGAAGGGAGAGGAAAAAAAAATTCCTGTATTTGGTATTCATTTCTTTCTTTATACCAAGCCAAAGCAAGTGCAGATAGGAACATAATAATGCTTAGGAATAGATTTATATGTTAATTTTATGATTTGTAATATAATTGATTTAAAATAATTATGTCATATGCACAAGGCATTTGCCATGTTCCTTCCTTCATCAAATAATTTAAAGGCTTACAATACACACATTAGATAGGGAATCACATGCAAAGGAACAGAATTAAAATTGGAAAGGAAATTAAGATGTCCATTGTGGCATTATTTATAATATTAAAACATTGAAAATTGAATAAATGTTTAGCTATAATGGAATGATTAAATATAATGGCACCATTCCCTGAACAGAATACTGTGTAGCCATTAAAATATGTTGATAAATTATTTTTAATCCTGTAGGCACAGTGGAAAATAAACTTAAATAATATTAATTGAGATAAGTAGAATTTGAAAGTATATATTTATATATAAAATATGAGCTCAACTATAAGAAAGTAGACAATATGAGACAAAATACTGGAATGTATATCACACACTAGGTAATAGTGGTTATCTCTAGGTGATAAGCTGAGGTGATTTTACTCTTTTTATTAATACTTTTTTATATTTTCTAAATTTTACCCATTGAGTCTGTGCCTTCATAATGGGAAAAAACAATCAATACTTATGTATGCTTCAGTTTCCTTATTCATAAAATGAGGATGATAATAATAACATCTACCGCCTATGATTGTTCAGGTAATTAAATGAGAAAATGCTTGAAAAGCCCCGCCTGGTACAATGTCTAGCATATGGAAGTACTCAAAATAGAACATTTTTTCTTCTTCTTTGTTTTAAAGAAAGTATAGTGTGATTTCGTATATAAGATTTTATTTTCTCCTCTCAAGGTGTAACTTGAAGAAAATGTTAACATTTCTACAACTTTGCGGTATAATAAGGAAAATGAATAAGACTTGTGTATATTCTGTTCAATGAAATAATAATGGCAATGGTATGATTTGTACAAAAAGGGTCAAGGTGGGGACAGAAAGCACTGGCAGATGACACACATGTAAAAAGACACATATGCAAATAAACATATGCAGACACACACTCTACCCTACACATACATGGACACACAAAACACAACACACACACACACACACACACACACACTCACGCACCCAGTAAAGAATTTCACCATCTGGGCAGACAGTACAACAAAGTTATTTCTGCCCTTTGTTGCAAGAACCTATGCTCCCTGCTTCTGAAACTATCTCGTGCATTAAAAAATAATCAAATGAAATTTGTATTCAAATATCCCCTCTAGTAAAATAAAGTAATGGCCCAACCCCATGTGCTATGGTTTACAGTTGCTTCCATTTTGAGCTCTCCATTATGGATTCATCATCCCATGTACAATAAAATCCATACCTAGGTCTGCATAGTTAGACTTGAAAAATTGCTTGCGTCCACAAAAGTACAGCTCGAAGTCAGTTTCATTCGACCTGCGCAAAGTGTATCCATTTTCAAGAGCAGCAAAAGCATCACAGGTATAACGGTAGGTAATGAAACCATAGCTGTCTCTGCAATGGACAAAGAGGAAAAGTTCAAAGCTCATGAGGAGGCATTAGCATATATGACTGTAACCCTTGCTACTTGGGGAGACTTTGCCGGTGCCAAAGTCTGAACCACTGCATCCATTTATCAGTGTGATTGTCCTGTCAAGCAGCTAAATACTTATTTCTGGGACAGGAAATCTCAACTAGAAAGATTAATAAATAGGGATGAAAGAAAATAAATAAGGTTCTGAACTCAACATGTCATCTGTCAAAGCATCCCCATCCTAGTAATCTTATGGCCATAATTTTTTACATATGTCAGCTTCTAAACAAGAAATAATCTTGAAGATTCTCACCCATCATCCCGCAGATTTACTGTGCACTCCTCAATTTCACCAAAAACTTCAAAACGGTCCCTCAGTTCTGTCCGTGTCGTGTCAGGTCTGATTTTACCAACATAAATCACACGGCGTTCTTCCTGGGGGTGGGGGGAGTAAAGAGAGACTTGCTCGGTTTTGAGACAGGAAAGAAGCTGAACCTCTAGAAACATTCATAAAGGTAAAATCATGCATTACAAGAACCCACAGAGCATGCCAACTAAAGTAAAACATACACTAAAACTGAATGAAATGCTATACTTGAACCGAGTTTTAATTTGCATTTCTTCAACATCACTCTCATCTCTCACATGCTCTCTCTGTAGCACCGCATTCTCTCCCACGTTTCCTAACCACCTCTGTTCTTCAGGCACATGAACTTTTATATATTAGAAAAGAAATATGTGTAATGTGATCCCTTTATCACTGAATAACTGAACAATACCTATTAAATATTTTCATTCCTGTGACTCAATTATTAATCCTTAAAATGAGTAAGAACCTGACTTGGCTTGAAAACCTGTTTAATTTATCATTAACTCAGATTTCTAATAATGAGATGTACATTTTTTCCAGTGTTATTCAGAAGTAATTGACATCCATCACTGTATAAGCTTAAGGTGTACAGCATGATGATTGAGGTACAAATTTTGACATCCCTTAAAAAAAGTGATTCTTAAACTCTAGTATAAATAAATGTTACCTGGGGTGCTAAGGAAAAATGCAAATGATTGGGGTTTATCCTGGCTATACTAAAAAATATTTAGAAGATAGGGTTCATTGATCTTCATTTTTAACAAGCACACCCCAGTGATTCTGAGGCAGGTGGTCCAAAGACAATCATTTGAACAATATGGTCTGAAAATGTAGACTATTTTAAGCGATGGGTCTCCAAAGAATAAGAGCTATAAAAAAAAGGCTATAAATTTCCCCTTGCCAATGAATCTTATTTTAGGAACAGACTAGAAGGGTGTGGCCTAATTTTCACAAGTGGAGTCAATATCATCATCATCTGAAAATCATCAGCAATTTATAACCTACAAAATATGGGAAGAATATTTTATAGCCTGAGGATGCATTTCTTTTAAAAAAAAATAGGAATGCATTCTTAATGTAAGAAGCAATCCTATAACTCTTGTTCTAAGAAGACAAGGCCACAGGAGATGCTGTCTCTCAAAACTGAGAAAAGGCAAGAAAGTAAGGAGTTAATACAAAGAATGTGCTTACCAACCAGGCTATATGTCTATCAAGGACAAACAAGAATGGAATGAACTTAAGGTTGCAGAGATTTAAGTTAGATGGAAGCAAAGACAAGGAAGCACAGGACGAAGGTACGGATTTAGCTTGCCTAAGAGTTTTCCCTGAATGTACTGAGAGTATCCTGTCTTGGATGATGTGAAAAGTAATTTAGGCCTAAGGCAAAGAGATGTCCTATGTTATTTACTGAATGTCTTTCCTTTTCATGTGTCTAGTATTTAGCAAAGGACCTGGCAAAGATTGGGCACTCAATAAGCACTTGTGAAATATCACTGAACAATTCAGAATCTATAATAGATATCCTCCTTGGTGATCTGATCATCCATGTTTCATCTTCTTTTACCTTATGCAACACTCATATTTCTATTTTCATCAGGGACGTTCCTCTGAGCTTCAAACTCAAATAAGTAACTATCTATTTGACATCTCAGGTTAGATGTCCCCTCGGTGCCTCAAACTAGACCCACATTACTCAAACAAAACTCTCCACTTCTATCCTCTGCCCCGTGGGTCTTTCTCCAATGTTCTTGCATCAATGAAGTTAACACCATCTAGCCAGTTATTCAGGACAAAAACCTGAGTGCTTCATTGATTCTTACCTTAGTTGCCTCCACACATCCAATCACTCATTAAGTCCTACTGATTTTCACCTCCTAAATCTCCCTCTAGTCTGTCTCCTTCGTTACATCTCCCCTAAACCAAGCTGCCAGCATCTCTTTCTAGAGTAGCATAACAGCCTCTTAACTTGAATCCTGTGTCTATGTTTACCCTCCTCTGATCTATTCTTTCACTTCAGTCAAAGTATTCTGTGTTAAAGGAACAGGAATTCAACCATGCCAATTACTTTCTAGTAACAGGACCTACAGGCCATTCATGGTCTGGACTGGTCGTGATCATGGGCTTAATCTCCCTCATCTCATTCCTTCCTTTACTCTGTTTTCCAGACACATTGAGCTTCCATCAGCCCTTAGCATACACCACACTCCTTCCTTTTCCAAATCCTTTACACAAGCTGTTCTATTGCTACTTGGAACATCCTTCACACTGCCTCCCCTTCCCCTTCACCAACATACATATACTGTCTGGGGTTACATGGAACCCAACTATCATTTCTTTCTGAGATTTGCAATGAGGTCAAGCTTCCTATTAGCTCCTCTGATAGAACACGCTCTCCTTTGTGGTTCTATGCTCAACTGGAATCAATACTTTATCCATTCGTTAATGTCTGCCTCGCCATACAGTGAAAGCTCCATGAAAGTGGAGACCACATCTGTCCTATTGACTACTATGTTTTAAGAGTACCTGAAATATAATGGAGTGTCAGTGAATATTTGCTGAAAAATCAGTCAATGGCCCATCAGTTAATCCTTTTTAGCACTTACCCCATATCCTTCATTACATCAAAGATGCCTAAGTGTGGTCCTTACTCTCTGAGACTCTCTAAGGCTATTGAGAATGAAGGCAAGGTTTGGTACCTTATCATAGGAAAAACCTTGCCCACGTAGCTCAGCTGTGTGAATTAACAAAGGTTCCCGGGATTTGTTTTTACAGGCTTAAGTGTTAGAAGTGTGGAGTATCTGCAAGTTCTCAGGACTCTGACTTTTAAAAATCACCTCTGAGAACCAGAGGTGGGGGTCCCCTGAAACAGTTAGTAACACACAGTTCCTCTGGCATTGGCTACTGAGCCTAAATAACTGACCAGATGATGTACGGCAAACAGGGCAGCCTGTCTGATTCACTTCCATGTAGATTGTATGTCTCAGGCTAAGGATATAACTGTGTTGCTTCAGAGCACCCAGCACATTCTAGAGGTCCACAATATAAACGGATGGGTTGTACGCTGGAGCAAGGGAATCATAACATCACATTCCATTCTATTTACGCAGCCAGCTCTAGCCAAACAGCCAAATGTGATGGGACTGTTATCTAAACTTCCTGGCGCCTGCTTGCACGGTGTTAATGGATTTATTTTTTAATGAGCTTTTTTAGGAAGGTTACTACTGTATAGAAGAAAAGGGAGGGAAGGAAGGAATGCAGAAGAGAGAGAAAGAAATTGAACCATCACAAGGAAATTGCTCCACTACCATTATGGGAATACACAGAGCCTACATACTCAAGGAAGTTAAAGCTAAAATCGACCATATGCACGTCCATATGCAGACATATTGGGACAATCTCTGAATTGCTTCTTTATACAAAGCTGTATGCAACAATGATCCCACGAAGAAGATAAACCAGGGGACCTTTTATATCAGATACTGATACATTCTGCAGTAAAAGGAAGACACAGCCTAGATGGGAGAGACAGAATTTCAAGGGGCTGGTCCACAATCACTTAAATTACCTATTTGTCTATTATCTCCTTCTATGAAACACAGGAATGGGACCACGTCTTGCTACCTTACAAAGACCAGAGATTGAATACATGTTAAAATTCTCGTTTGAGAAAATGATTGGGAGTGCTCGGTTTTCCTAAGCTAGAAATGAAACTAAAAGGCATCTGAAGGTCTGAAAAGCAAAGACAAAAATCTTCCCAAGGTTGGCCACAATGTCTAGCAAAAAACCGATTATTTTTAACATGTTGCAGTTTTATTAGACAGATGAATAGATTCCATATCTTTAAAAAACCTTAACATTTGCAGCCAATTTTTCAAGACATTAATTTCTAAACAGGAGATGAAAGGAAAGGAAATCAAAATGCTTAATAACATTTCCAACTTCTTAAAGGCTTGGAGGAACTCTAAACCTTTGGCAAAAGCTTTTGAAAAATGATTTTCAGACCAGTTTTCACTATTGAGGGGCATGTAACATTTATCAAATATCTTTTAGCTTCAATTTTCACAAAAGCTAGTTTGCTGATGGGGTAGATAATAAAATTGAAGATTTATGTTGCATTAACAGGTATAGTAAATCCTCATTATATCAAAACACAGGGGATAAATACAGAAAAAAACTGACTGAATTAACTGGCTTTGCATTATCAAAATCTTTATCAAAAAAGGTATAGAGCCTCCCAGTTAGCTGGAGAAAACATACAATGGTTGTTCTTCATCAAATAATAAGTTATTCCTGGTACAAGGGGTTTGACTAAAAATAAAAGAAGAAAATTAATAGGGAGATTAACATTTATTGTCTAAAGTATGCTAAGTACTACGCTCAATGCTTTTCTATGGGTTATCTCACTAAACTTCTGCAATGCGAGGTAACAACAAGTAAGAGCCGGATAGCATTTGGATTTGTGTCCTCAGGACTTTTATCCTACATTTCCAAATCAGAATAACGTAAAATTCCTCCTACTGTACTAAGGAAACAGCATTCCCAACTTTGGCAATGAAAGATCTGTGTTCATTTCCAGATTAGCTACAACCTGACTTACTCAAAAATTCCAAGGAAATTACAAATATTATAGATGAGACGAATGGATAAAATTGATGCCATTTCTAGAATGAACGGCATGTACAGCTAGGTCCTCTAGTGAAAGGATAAATGGAGAGGAGTAGGTGGCCATGAAAAGATATGAAGGGACAGAAAAATGCCAAAACTCTGACAAAAAAATCCAAAAGCAAAAGGTTTTTTTTTTCTCTTGCTCTTATATTAATTACGTTCATTTAATTCAGTAGGCATTCAGTAAGTGCCAACTACTAGGGGGCACTCTTAGGGAAGAAACAAAACTATAGCACTCAGTTTTCCAAAGTTATCCCCATCCCAGTAATGCCCAGGGAGATTCCTCCTTAGTGTCTAAGTTTGGATAAATGTCACTTAATCCAGGTTAGTCTACTTAACCCCTAATATACAAGTAAGAGCTAAGATGCAAGTGAGCACAATGATCAGTCAGAAAACATAAAACCTCTAGACTGAGAGCATGTATAACTACTTTTGATAAAACTGCTAATTTCTAAATAGTGAGCTTAGGCTCTAGATATATTTGCTCACATGAAACATCTCTTGAAAAAGGCTTGAATAGAAACTACTTAATTTTCTCCAAAAAGAATAACTATGAGAAATTACACTTTTTTTTTTCATTTGGAAGAAGCTGATAATTATCAGCGATGATGCACTGTTCCTGGCTCCTGGGCTGCATACTAACCAATGAAGAAGAGAAATGAAATGGCACAGTCATTGCTTAAGCACATCTGGTTTTGGCTTTAAGCACTGAGCCATATCATAATGTCTAGATTTGCCCTTTAAATTAACATCCCATTATCATGTTTTCTGGCAGAAAACTGTACAGATTGCAAATGGAGTTGGACTTAGAAGTCCACAAGAAATTAGAGCAATGACAGTTTAGACATTAAGTACTAAACTCTGGCTTGCAGAGTTCCAATATAACCTGAATTATTTCAAGCTTATGAGACTGAGGAAGACAGAGGGTGAATTGGCTTTTGAGAATGAGTTTAGATGGAAATTGGAGGAAAGTAACAACTGCAACAATGCCAATATTCAACCACAATATATGAATTACTAATTACTAGTTTTCTTTTAACGCTCTGATTTGGATAAAGACTGTCAGAGGAATAAGCAATGAGAAGTTTATAGACCTCCCAAACCATCTCCTTCTTATGAAGCTCAAAATGAAAGCAATACAGACTAGAAGATGAAGGTAGCAAAGACTATTTTAATTTTTTTTTAATATCAATTATTATATAATTTTAACATTTTTTTTCCATTTCCTTTTGGAACCTCTGCTTTGTTGGTCCCTTAATTATATGATGGATATGAATTTATGCAAAGTCCAACACTGCACTAAAAGTAGTCCAAACAGAATTTGCTACTTATTCATTACATTAAGGGTATCTCAAAAATCTGAATGGAAGTTGCCTACACGACCGACTTAAGTGGACTCTCTTAGTTCCTTTAGCTATATCATCAATGACTTTTCAAGCTAATCTAGTCAAACAAATAAAAAATCATTGCATGTATCTCTGTGCCCAAGTCCATAAAAATACACTTTGCAAATGAATTTTGGCATAAGAAAGCAGATCATTTTGAGGAAGGAAATCAATCAGAAAATCTCCACGTGGGTAAACTCATTAAATAGTTCCACTATGTCTTCAAGACAGACTTCAAAATCTTTATCATGCCTTACAGGACCCTTCAAAGATGTGGTTTCCACAGAGCCCTCCAGACTTATTTCTTGCCACTCCTATACCCCAGTGTTCTAGATAAATAACTAGCAGTTCCCCAATGTGCCTTGCTCTTTTTCAGAGACAGTATGAGCTATATAGCCTCTGCCTAGAATAGGAATGTCCAAGAAAAATATAATGCAGCATATGTAATTTTAAATTTTCTAAGAGGCACATTTTAATGATATATTTTATTTAGCTCAATATGGCCAAAATGTTATAATTTAAACTTGTCATTGAAAAAAATATTAATGAAGTATTGTACACTCTTTTTTTGTACGGTCATCAAAATCCAATCATACTTATAGTGCATCTAAATTTGGGACTAGCTGAATTAGCCATGTGGCTAATGCCTACCACATTGAACAGTGTAGAAAACTTTTGTCCTCCATCCCTTCAGATTTCAGATCAAACTCACGCTGTCCAGGGATGACCTCCCTTGTTCCCCCAGGTCTGGGTGCCTACCCATATGCCATCACAGTGTCTTAGATGCAGCACTTAACACACCCTATTGCCTATTTGTTTGTCTTTATCTCCCAGTAGACTGGAAGCTCCCTAGATAGAGGGGACCAGGTCTTACCTAATTTTATAGTCCAAGCACCTAGCAAATGTTCATCTCATAAAGAGTCATGAGTTTTCACTTACGTTAAGCAGAAATAGCATATAATTGTCAAAGTGGGAATTGGTTTAGCAGTAAGGCCCAAATTTTATACCACCTATAGATCACTATGTTAGTAAACCATCTCTGTGTCATAGATTTTTTTTTTCAATCTGCTTTTCAAAAACAAAAACAATGGGCCGACCGAGTGGCTCAGTTGATTAAGAGCTCACTCAAGAGTGCAAGCTCTGAGCAATAGCGGTTCGAGTCCAGCCCTAGCTGAGCTGCCACTGAGTTGCCAACAGGTGGCACGGTGGCTCAGCTTAAAACAAACAAACAAACAAATAAACAAATAACACAAAAACAAAAAATCTTAAAGCCAAAATTCTCACAAATGTCTAACTAATTTATAACCATTTAATATAAGCCAAGTTGACATTTGCACTATATAAGCCATCTTTCCAAGAAAACCGATAAAAGATTGTCTTAAGTCAAAGAATTAAATAAGGAACCAGGCAACATTTGTGACACAAAGAGAAGGCAAGGTAGTATCTGATTCCAAGCTGAGGTTGATGATCTCAAGGGTGATTTTGACTCAGGCATCAACTATGGAACATAGACCAGTCACACTATTTGATCCGTTGGGAAACAGCCAAACTAGGGAAATGGCACCTCCCTCCCTTTCTTCACTCCAATTAAGCATCTGGCACTAAATTATCTTTTGAAGGAATAAAATAAGCACATGTCATTTATCTACATTTTTTACACAGCTTTGGTTATAGCTATGTTGTATTTTACCCAAATGAGCAAATATGTGATGAAAGAATTAGTCTCTCTCTTTAATGGCCACAGTTCTGGGAAAAAACATAAAGGGTTTTATAAAATATGAACTTGCAAACACTGAAATAACTATTTTCCTACATGCTTACTCAACATGATTCTCTTCTGTAAAGATTAACTATAATGCGCTATATTAAAAGGCTCTGTAAACTACATGGCACTATATAAATGTGAGTAATTATCATTATTGAATATGCTATTAATTAAAAACAGAAAAGTTAGAAAAATTGAATTTTTAATTTTCATTAGTCTTCTTAAGCGTTAACTAATGATACTCGGGCAGACCTTAATATCACAGCTCATTGGAAAGTTGAGAAAAATGAGGCAAGGTGTTGTAATTTGCACAAGGCCTTTGATTCAGTCTTAGGTAGATTCAAAGTGAAATGACAGCAAACACCCTAGACCTTTAGCCTAAGGATTCAATTACTTTTCCTTTCTTTCTCCTTGAGTGCCTGCGATGAACAAACCTCTCAGTTAACCTTTTTCCTCCAGCTGAAAACTGTTGGCTAATGCTTGATTTTGACTGCATTAGTCAGCTCTTTTATGTAGGTATTTCAAGGTTTTGTTGATGGCAGTGGGTTTTCTTAAAGGAACCACATAAGTCTAACCTTTAAAATCCCTTTCCCTAAGTCTCACTTTGCTTAGATGCAAGACAGTCATAGCCAATCTTCATGGAAATGACACTTAGCAGCTAGCACGGACAGGCAGCTGCTGGAACGCACAAAAGCGGTGCCGTTTCTAATGGATTAGCCATGGCTTCCGGGAGCACCCTGTCAGGAAACCCTAAGACTCTAGAGGGGCTCAGTGGAGACGAGCGCCGTCATTGATTAGGAATGTCTGCCATGAACAAGAGCTGGATGCTGACAACTGGAGTGTCTCATATTTGCTCTCCAAGGTCTAGGGTGATAAGCAATGGGAGGAAGGTGGGGTACAGTCTACCCATCAGTAAACAGCTGCGGAAAAGGTACAGACCCAGAGAGAACAAACTAGTTTAACATAACCTGGATCTTTCCACCGAAGGGTTGGTACTGTCTATATGTCAAATGAATATAATACCCTGTGGTAAGAGGTGTCAAAAAATACATAATGGGTTATTTGGAAAGTAGTTCATAAGAAATGTGGCTGTGTCAACTGCCCAGTTCGGTGATGACCCAGCATAAGTAAGAAGAAATGATGACTTTCTTAGCAAATCTTCCTCTATTGACGCCTTTAAATCCAACTTGAACCCAGTCTCTTGCTTCACAGACAATCCAATCCTCACATCTGCCAAAAAGATGAACCGGTGATACCGCCTCATTTTCCACTCAGAGTAAAAAGCAGCAGAGGACGGAAAGAAGAACTCATCCTCTGACCGGATGGAACCAGTATCTGACAGTAAATCTCTACTCCCTCCATTTTTAAAAACAGTAATGAGCTATCGGATGAATGAGAAATACACTGACATAACATTAGGTTTTCCGGTAACCTGAGTTAGAGAGATTGGGGACTCCGTGATGTTTTGATGCCCAAAGCCTGACTATGCATATTCTAACAAAGTTGTAGCTTTAGTTTATTCTCTAATCTACAAAAATAAATAAATAAACAAATAAAAATAAAAACAGGAAAAGAAAATAAAAACAAACAAAACAAGAAACCCTCCTTTAAAATGAAAGTTAGCTCCAAGCTGCTTACAATTGCCTTCTGCCTCTGCCTCTCCCTTTGTTTGGCCCTCTCAGATTCCCGTTTCTCATACTCTCTGCGGTATTCTTCCCTCTTCAGCCTTTCGTGCTGATATTCCTCGTAGCTGTCATACCTGAGAAACATAACTTCATCATTAAGTCAACCACCTCCAATTGCATAAGCAGAATGAATAATAAACTGGGGAAGGGGAGGGTTTTAGATAACATCTTGTCATCTAAAGGCAAGGAGGAGAGGAGCCCAAGGAAAGTGACACGCATCGTTACCTGGGCCTACGGCTGTAGGGCGATCTTGAACGTGATCTTGAGCACAGGGGAGAATTTCGGTGTGTGCGGTGCCTGCAGTGGCTTGACTCATAGTAGTAGCAAGATCTGGGAGAAAAAAGAAAAACAAAAGGGGCATTTGCAACTGCCACTTAACCCCCGGCTGATCGGCACAACTGAACATCCGGCAGCTCACTGTATTACATAAACCGGCTTTTCTCTTCCCAGCTACTAGCGAGATTTCCCGGTGACAGTTTCTGATCATCTAGTCAGCTTAGAGGTCTGGGAGTGATGTGTTCTCTCCAGCATCTCTTATTGATGTTAACGCCGAGCACCAGGCTGGTACACTGTCAGCTTTATCTTGCTTGGATCTCCACTATCCTGGCACAGGGCAGCTCTCCAGGTAATGGAAAAAGTTAGATGAGCAAGTTTCTTACAAATTGCTCTCTGTGATCTGACTGGCTCAAGGCACTGTGCTCAAGGCTGACAGATTTAAGAGAAGATGAGGAACAATGTATGTGTAACAACAATCTCATTAGTTCTGAGTTACCAGGAATGCACTGGTGAGGGGCTAGGCTGCCTGTGGGATTTGAATGCTCTTTTTTTTTTTTTAAACTTCCTGGGAATGCCTTATGCTTTGGGTAGGTTTTGACAAGGTTTACCTCGAAGAGGATCTACTGCCTGGGGACCTTGATCTTGACCTGGAATATGGTGATCGGGAACACGACCTGTGTCGAGAGAACGACCTTGAACGAGAGCGCATCCTTTGGGGTCTTTGAGAAAATAAGGATTTGGGTGGTGACACGGAATCTCTACATGGAGAGTTAAAAGAGGAGCAGGAAGGCGACACATCGAACAATGAATAGGATTGTGTGCCATCCCAAGGGTAGTTCAGTTTATCACTTTCATCTTCGCTGTCATCAAACAGGCCATCCATGGCTAGTCCTGAATTTATAAACATAGGTAGTTTGGAGAACTGTTCATTACTGAAATCACTGTCCCTCAGTTTACTGGTCTTGTCTACTTTGTCATCAAAAACAGCTTGACTGGGATGACCGAAGTGCTTGTTGAGCTCGGCTCGGATTTCCTGGTCCTGGAGCTGTTTTCTGGTGCTGCAAGGAGAGACCTGCTTGCTCGCCTCCGAAGTCTCTCTCATGTAGCACTTGTCTGAATCTGTGGAAGAGCAAATCTGCCCCTGCCAACTGGAGGAAGCATCTTTATATTCTAGTTGTCTAGAGTCTTGAAGCTCCTGTGATATATTAATGAGTATTTCCGTTTTGGAATTGATTGACTGACAGTAGTCATGGTCACCAAAGAGCCGTAGACTGGGCCGCTTGGCCTTCCTTTCCTCGTGTCCACCGGGGAGCACTGAGGTCTTGCTGAGCTGTGCATACAACTCAGACTGCTCAGGCCCTTTCTTGGTGGAGTTAGTGCCTTGGGTACCAGGAGACTCGCTGTACCGGGGCTTCTTTGATGGCGGAGGTACCACAGTCTTGCAAGAGGACTTCAGCTTTGGAGAAGCCCTGAAAGGGTTGTCTTGGTTGGCTTTATGAGGAGGAGTTGTGGGTGGAGTTAGGCCTAAGACAAAAGAAGAAGAAGAAGAAAAAAAAAAAAACACGGGGAGAGAGAGAGACACAGATAATGTTCTTAAATGCTAGGATGCGTTTTCCTAACTTTTCCAAGATTTCAGACAATGGTTAAAACTGAGTAAAAGAAAAAAAAAAGGAAACTAAATTAATGACAAGACCTGAAAACGTGACTCTCTCCCCCTAAGCTTCTGTCACCAAGAAAAGATGGCTCTACAACACCAGGCAGCAGTGAGAGTCATGATATTTTGTATTTCAAACACCAATGCTAACAGAATCTGCTTCCCAGAAAACATTAACACATCCCTACTGGCCTCCACAGCCCCGGGCATTACCAACGCTCACATTTTCAAGGGCATCATATTGTCTACGTTATGGAAAATTAACACGGGAGGACTCAGGGGAATCATAGAATTGCTTTGGAGGCATTTGTCTGCAAAGAGCTCTGCCGAGGGGGCAAGTGGCTCAAGGTTTTTGGTCCAATCAAGGAAATCTACCCGTGGAGCCAAAGTTAGGTAATGAAAAAAGAAAAAATTAAAACCGTACATCGGATGACAGCAAATGTGGGGCAGGGTGGGAATGACTCAGGCAACTTCAAAGTAAGTTCAGTAAAATATGACACACAAATGCAGGGAACAAGACAACTCTACAACTTGATGGCAATGATTCTTTGTCTCCACAGTTCATTAACTTAGTAAACCATGGCTAATGTAGGTATAATACATTCTTGTAAGCATAACTAATACATTCTGTCTAAAATATGGTTCTGCAACAGAAACCTAAGTGAACAGTAACACGAAATATTGCAGTGCCAGGGGACCATTTTATTTAGAGCACAACATTAGAGCAGGTTACGAGGCTGAAGGATTGAAACGGATCCAAGCTTCAGCAACTAACTAATTAAAAGTATTTTTTAAAAAAGGAGGAAGGGGGAAAAAATCCATCAGCCATTGCCTTGTGTGCTTTTGTACAGAAGGGCAGAAAATTCCACCAGAAGTCATTGTGGCAGCATCTGTGAAGTGTAGTTGCCTCTATTAAGTCTCACCCCTGAGTAAGTGCTACGCATCCCTTTACACTGAGGAAGAATAATTGTGACATGGCTTTAGAGTCCAAAGAACTTTGAAGAAGGGAAGGCTGGAGTTCAAACGGCTGTATGCTTACAAGGGGACATTTTAGTTTACAACACACTTTCTATTTAGGAGGATGGGTGAATGCTATTCGGCAAAAAAAACCCTGGGGTTAGACTTAAGGCAACGGCATATCTCAAGGAAAGGCAGAGAAATCCTACCTTGCCGGGAAAAAAAAATGTATATATATATATTTATATAGAAAGAACCAAGTAGGTCACAGAAAGTCACATGAAATTTTCATGTCAACAGGAAGGTGATGCCTGTCTCTCTCACTTTACAATAAAGAAAGGGAAGAAACTGATATTCTCCGCAAAATGAAATATTTTATGCCAATATTTGGCAATTTTTATTATGGATAGCTAATTCTCTCTTAATGAGGGAAAAAAGGACAAAGTGCATAGTGGTTTGGCTTTGGAAATCCATCCCAGGAAAGCTCAGAAAGACAGGAAAAGCAAACACAAAGAGAAGGGACACATCTGGGTCTCAAAAGAGTCTCCGTTTATTAGCAGCCTACTGTATGCCTCCTCCTCCTTGCTTAGAGATAGCAGGGAGCTAACGTACTATTGAGTGGAGCATCCTGTCCCTGAGGCACACCCTCCTTTTCCCTCTTTCATGGGCAAACACATCTTTTACTCAATCTTAGAAATTCCTATACAGTCACTCTTTTCGTCTCTCTTTCTTATTTTTGTCCCCCTTGTTCTTCACCTTTTGCACTGCCCATTCATACATTCTGCTACCTTCGATGACCATTACAACAAATTCAAAGATACCAAGGCCCAGCAAAGAAATGACAAGGTCTCAAATATTTCTCATAGGGAGCTAAGCTGCTCCAAGAAGTAATGATGACTTATCCCTCTTTGCTGAGTAAATAACAGTCAAATCTTTCCAAATGACATAGCCGTTGAATTGGAGAAAGTAGCATTCGACATCCTAAAATCCAACTCCATAAATATTTTCATGACGCCCCAAATTAAGGTAATTTTTACTTTTCCAATAGTGTACTGCCAGGGTCACTCACTTGCTACTTATCAGATATGGCTGTATATTTTTGCTTGTCTTTTTTGAATGTGAATTATATCTTGTCTCTCCAAATAGATTATAAGCGCTTTGTGAAATGTCTCTTGGGCTTATTTTTACAACACTTTTTACTCATTTTTTATTTTTATTTTTCTAGCTCTTCCTTCTGTGGTGGATCTCACATTTCAGTGGCCCAAGAACCACTTGGGAAGCTGGTTCCACATTTTTAACGAGATGGTTCACAGACCACATACGGAGAGCCACCATCCAACACTGCCTATGTGGCACGCCGGCTTTTACTCAGGTATGTGTATTTTGACTGACATTCTAGACTTATGAAAAGAAACCCTAAACTTCAGAAACACCAAATTAGGCCACTATTAAAGAGAGACTCGTTCTAAAAATAGCTCAGCTATCTAGAGATTTTAAATATAGAAATTCTTTTTAGTCTTGAACATTTGAAACCCTTGTCCTAGTACCTAAGCTCATTATCACTTAAATAACTGATTCTCAAGTTGCTCCTGGGACTGGCGACACCCCAATTGTAGCTTCTTTGATTTAAAAACGAAGTATTTCACCCCCTTCACGTAGTGGATGGTCTGTGGCCATCGAAACGAGTGTCTGTGTGCTCGACACCACAGCTCATGCAGGGGTCACAGGGATGCAGCGCCAAGGACTTCACAGTTCTTTTTAATATAGAAACAATTCTTTCACATTTGAAGTAAGTATGTTTTCATGCACATATACTTAAAATGTACAGAAACTCTCTGAGATAACCAAATACACACCGGGAGTGAAAATATTAGGGCTGTAAATTTCCGTTGGCTCTACTTGTTCAAACAAATAAAGAAGACTTGCTTAGTGGATGGAAGTTATTTTCGGATTAGTGAGTAGGTGGGTAGGGGAAAATAATTCAGATAACTCCCTAAATTTTTTACTGTTTACTGAAACGTCTTTAATCAGTGAATACCTCCGAGCCAAGACTGAGAAATCTCAAGAATCACAAGACTTTGAACTACCGGTGCCTAATTGAAAATCTATTTCCAGAGATAGTTGAGACCCAAAGCAAGACAACAGTGTAAAAAGCATTTTTTTTCCTTTTAACATAGTGTCGAATTTTTTTAGTGCTACTCATGGGACAGGGAACTCCTTGCTGCTCCTGAACTAATTGGATTTCTCTAACCCCATCTCTCCTACCCGGATTTTTTTCCCCTGCAGTAGGATGACAGTCAATACCAATTCCTTAACGCGGCTACCTTTGCCCATCTTCCCACTAATCGCCGGACTCTCGATTTCATCCCACAAGCCTGAACCAACAGTGCTAATGCCTCCCATAACCTCCGGATTATTTCCTGTGTGTTGATTTTTCTGGGGAATGTGTACATTTTGGTGTTGACAGTACAAGGTATATTCCGTGCTCTCTCTTGAACTTAGCAGGTTTTGACAGATTTATGTGAGGACAGACGGCCATTACAGGCTGAAGGCTGACAAGAGGCAGTTCAGAGTATTGTTAACACACTTGCACAAACTCTCAGCAGTGCAGCACTGTGCGGAATGTAATTCAGACTATAGCTTTTTTATTGCTGCCTATTTTCTTTTGTCAAAAGAGCCTGCTGTGCAGAGCAACAAATGGCTGCTATTACCCAGAATGTAATGGGTGTCAGACAAATCACGTAACACAAACAATCAAGAGTATGTAGGTCATATTTCAACAGAGCACAACCTTAGCAATATTTATGATTACTGCATTGAAATGTGCTCTATAATAAACAAGTACCTCTCCATCACTCACACTTATGCACTTCTACACAGCAAATCTGGGAGAAGTGGTACACACTCTACAGTCATCTTTTTAAACAGCCCTTTTATTAAAAAAAAAAAGTCAGAGACAAGTTTTGTTTTGTTTCGTGTTTCATTGTGTGTTATGAAACGATTTTCTTGGAGAGGCTCTCTTTGGGGTTTCTTTGTTTAATTGAATGACTCTGGTAAATGGTGACTCCTCCGCTCTTTTTTTGTGCTCCACTATCTACCCAACAGCTTCAGCAGGATCTTCTTTTCAAAAAAAAAAAAAAAAGTTGGTAACATTTTCCAGAATCTACGGCTACATCTGTAACTTGCTTTGCACTTTCTTTGACGGTGGGAGTTTTCTGATGTCGCATGCCAACTCAGATAGTTCTTAAGGAAAAACAACAAGACGATGGGTTTCTAACTTGCTTAGAAACTCACCACAAGAGAAAGGCTGGGCAAAGAGAGGTGTGTGACTTGTCCTACTCCCATGTTTTTGGCCTCAAAAACATGGAGTGGGTGTTAGGGGGGCACCAGTTAGAATGTTTCCTGCATAAAAGCTCCTCCAGTGCCCTCCACCCACCCCCACCATCCCCAGGACTTCCTGGCGCTCCACAAGAGCCCATAACCAAAGTGTTCACAGTTCACACAGAGGGGCCTCCCTCATCTTGCTCTGGCTGAGAGTGTGCTTGCCTTTATTGCTTTTTAAGTATTTCCTATACCACCCCTGATTACTGGGGGAACAAACTGGCCTTGCAGAAAAGCTTCAGAACATTCCTATGACATATGACTAATTCCCCAACTCTCATTCATGGAAGATGAAGATATTATCAATGGGCCCTGGTGCCCTTTCCCACAGAGCTGGGGCAGGAGAGGGGAGCAGGGTGGGAGTGAGGGGCACCTGGCTGTCCAGGTGTTTACCACTAAGCCCCACCCCCACCCTAAGTTCATGTGGGAAAGGAAACTGCATTGCTATCCGTGACTTAAAAGAAACTCGATAGTACCATTTTCAGAAAAGAAAACTGAGGAACAAAGGAGTTATCTTTCCAGATTTTGGGTC